GGAGCTTTTGGCGAGGTCGTCAGATAGGAATAACCTTTCGCAATACGTCTCCTACTTACAGCGACAGCGACATCCTCCTGAACAGCGGCAATCCATGTTATGGGTATCTTGGGACTACAATGTGCACAATTGCAGCAGAAGTTTACTTAGCTACTTGGGATTATGGTAATGGTAAATGACAGCACATGCTCGACAGCTGGCATTAAGGTATTTGAACCCTTCGATTAGGCCATAGGACCATAGGGACTTTGAGGCCAAACCGAAGAATCCGAAGCCTTAAACCCTAAACCGGGGTTTAGGGTTTAGGGGGTTTAGGGTTTAGGGTTTAGGGTAACCCTAAACCCGAAGTCATTAAACTGGGCACTGCAGTTAGGCTTTCGGTTTAGCAATTTAGGGTGTCGCAGAGTTGGAACGCCCGCGGACCCCACTTGGGAGACAACAGGCCTTGTTCATCCACGAGCTTTGGAATAGTACTTTACATAGGGTGTTTAGGGTTTCTGATGTGAAACCCAAAGGCTCCATGTACCGTTATTGTAGATACTTAAGCCCCAAAGTACCTATCTAGGCACTACATTAAGGCCAATGTATATACTATATGAGTACATGGACCCTTAGGGATAGGGTTTTTAGGGTTTCTGATGTGGAAAACTTGTCGTTTTCTTTTGCCAATGCGACTGCGATCTCGTCCGGAGGCACCGCCCGAGAACGAGATCAGTCTCTGGGCCACACCGATGAAGCTCCCCAGCTCAGTTCAACGTAGCAGCTAAGTAGGTAACTGTTAACCTTTTGGGGCTTATATGGCAAAACCCTAAACCCTAAATATGGTCCTTCCATAATTGACAAAGGTTAAAGATTAACCTCTTTTGGGCGGGGACACTCAGTTCCTAAGAGGGAGTGTCAGGGTTTCAGAGTTACGGTTGAATGTGGCATGCATGGTCTTCAGCCCTCACAGGGCCAGTATAGTATACTGCGACTCTCACCCAAACACCCCAAACCTTCAACCCTCAAAGCAGAGAAGGTGGTTTAAACCTCCAAACAGTGACAGAGTCGTCGTAGACCTAGAGGCAGGCTGCAAAGCATTCTGACTTCCTAAGTTGTCCATGAATGCTTCAATATGCGAAGTTCACTACAATGATCCCAAAGGCTCCATGTACCGTTACAGCAGATACTTAGGCCCCAAAGTAGTCCCTATATGGGTACTTTAAGGCCTAAGTATATACTATGTGGGTACATGGAGCCTTAAGGGATTGTCTTGCACAGGTCTCCGCACCTGCGCTGCGTACAGGCGCATAGGACCCAAGTCCCGGAGTGCAAGTCCAAAGCCTCTAAGTGTATTTGTAACTTTCCAGCTCCGTAAACCTACACCAGTTGTACAAACATACTCATAGGGGGTTGCCAAGTAGGAACATACTTTGGTTGCCCCTGCAGCGCCACAATACCATGGACCTGACAACCCTACTCTCATCCCTGAACCCTAAAACCCCTAAACCCTAAACCTCTAAAGCCACAAAATAGAAGTCCCCAGATCGCCCAACACCTGGAAATGGCCTGGTCTTCGGGAACCCAAAAGCCTTAGTGCATAGTGTAGAAGGCCCAGGAATCCTTTTGTTTGGGTTTAAGGTTTTAGGGTTAAAGCCTTAGTGCATGGCGTAGAAGGCCCAAGAATCGCGAAGACCTAAACTAAACCCTAGAACCCTAAACCCCTGAACCCTAGACCCCTAAACCCCTAAACCCCTAAACCCCTAAACCCTAAACCCTAAACCCCTAAACCCCTAAACCCCTAAACCCCAGACCGACCTTAAGCCTCCCTGAGGTTGCCGCCTTCGACGGCCGGCGCCTCACACTCGACCTCTGCATCCGGGGTAAGCACGGTTTAGGGTTTCTTTAAGGGTTCCCTTGAGGGTACTCTAGGGCTTTAGGGTTTAGGGCTCAGGGTTTAGGGGTATAAGGGTTTGGGGTTTAGAGGTTTAGGGTTTAATAGGGGTTTAGGGCTTGGGGTTTAGGGAAACCACTATAAAATTGGATCGAAGCCCTTGTTGTAATAGTTGGCTTCTATGAGGGGGTACATATAGCTTTATAGGGTTGTATTTGGTCTAGCATGGCATGTTTGGTGTCACTATAGGGCTATAGCTTTCTATTGGGTTTGACTAGCTTTCATGTTTTGGGGTTTAGAGCGTCAAGTCTGCTCTTTGCAACACTACTGGGCTGTCCCGAGGGCCCAAGTGGTGTTCTGTCTTAGTGTTTCTATGTCGAAATCAGGCCCGACTAGTATCTTTGCCCCACACCCCAAGTCTTGGAGCTTGTTAGTCCCAAAACTAAAACCCAAAGTCTCAAGAGAAGGAGGGTGCCCTTCGACTTTTCAGATTTCAACTCTACATAAAACCCTAAACCCTAAACCGGCTAAGCCCTCAACACGGCGACTCCGCATGGTCCTACGAGACAGTGACCACAGGAACCTTTAAAGGAAAGTCCATGAAGGAACCCTTACAGGAGCCCTGAAAGGAACTCTAAGCAAACCCTTAAAGGGAACTCCAGAAAGTTGGAATATGGATTTAATGGTAGGATACCCTATATAATTTACCATAGAAGGGTTAGGATAATCATATTCCAACTTTCTGGCTTCTACTGTAAACTACTATTTGCTTAAGAAACCCCAAAAAATAAAAATAATAATCCCTATATTACCCCCATAAGGAATATATATTTTTTATTTTTTGGGGGGTTCTTAAGCAAAAAGTAGTAAAGGAGCAGGAAGACTGAGCCCCTTGTTGGAGGTGCCCAAACCCCTTAAGGCTCCCTGTAACCACATAGTATATGAGTGGTTGTCAAATTAGGGGCCCTTTTTGGGTCCTTATTATAGTACGGCACCTAATATTTAGGGTTCCCAAAAAGGGTCTATAATTTTGACAACCGCCCATATACTTAGGCCTTAAAGTACCCATACAGGGACTACTTTGGGGCTTAAGTATCTACTATAACGGTACATGGAGCCTTTGGGACCCTGAAGCTAAACTTGGACTGCGACGCCCGATTCCCTAAGGCTCCATGAACCAAGATTTGGGCTTTTATGGACCAAAAGTTCCAACAAAGGAGCACTTCCAGGCTCAAGCATAAACTTACTTTCAGAGGTCTTGGATACATTGGAGCCTCAGATCCTCAACCCCACAGAGCCCGTTCAGAACCCTTAATCAAGTGCCTTGAAAGGAACCCTTTAACGAACCCCTTGAGCCTTACGGATTCTTATCTTGAGTTTGTAAAGCTTAAACCCTTACATAAAGCCTTATAAACTCTTATAAACCGCATAGCTCTTATGGCCCATATAACCTTCAAGGGCTGCGTATAGAGTCTATGCTTGAATCAGGGACCTCTGCGGCAACAGGCAGATCAGGACCTCACATGTCTGGGAGCTTCCGGGGGGCTTCGTGTAGGGGCCTTACTAATTAGCTTACTAATTAGCATACGGTTTTGGGGGTTCCTTGTTAGAATTATAGTATAATGTGTATAATGTGCACCCACATCTTATTCCAGCTATTAAGGCTCCTACATTAGTGGTTCCAAGTAAGATTTTAGGGTTTGGGGCTTAATTGGGTTTAGGGTTTGTGGGTTTAGGGATTATAAGGCCAGAGGGCTTATGGGGTTTCGGGGTTAAGGGTTTATGGATTTATGGTTCAGGGCCTCATTAGGAGGGTTAAGGACTGGAGGTTTCGGGTTCAAGGGTTGAGGGTTTACGGTTTCCTTTTCAACGGTCCTGGCTGAATTCATTCAAGGGATCGCGAGAAAATTTACGTCTTAGATGCAGCCAGGAGATTGGGTTCCCACCCTATGGTTTGCTTGGAACCCCTGTGCAACCTTATTCCTTGGTAGCAGCAGTGACTTTTTGTGGTTTCCAGTTTAGGTGAAGTTTAGGGTGTTTAGATTTTAGCGTCTCCAGGGACTCATAACACCAACTGCGCAGTTGGAAAAATCGCTGAAGTGTACCCCCTGATTCCACACGGACTACTGGGAACGTACAGAAACAAACTTGCCATCACCCAGCGGCATTGCACAAGGCTGCGTATATAAACCCTAAACCCTCATTAGAGCCCAGAAATGCCTGGGCTCGGTCGCAACACAACCCCGCCGTACAGTCCCAGACCCTGATGCTGAAAGTCTAAACCCCAACCCTAGACCTGGAACCCGAAACCTGAAGAAACCGGTAACCTGGGCCACACACTGTAAAGCGTTTTGGCCACAGCATGTGAACCCAAAATAAGTCTAAGCAACCTAACAACTCGAAGCAAAACAAGTTATCGCGAGGTAGTCCACTGGTATATTACGCCTTTCCTTAGTCTTAGTCATAGTCTTAAGCGAGTCTGTTTACCAATAGACTGCCGATAGCTTTCAGAGGGGCCTTAAAGGACCAAATCAGATCAGCCCTGAAACGCATAGCCCTGAACCGAAACCCCTTAAACTCTTAGAAGCCTTCTTCAATCCTGCGAAACCCTCAAAAACCCTCAAAACTAAATCCAGTCAGTCTTCGCTTCGAACATCCTGTGCACGGGAGCATCTGGCCGGAGTGGAGTCGTGACACAGAAATATGGGGCCTGAATGATCACCGATACGACGTCTTAAGATTCCTCGGTTACTACAGCTATACGAAAACATACGCCGGAAACCTAGTTTTGAACATTAAGGCCTTCATATTGCTGTATGGCATCCAAGGAGTGTCATAGCATGGTACTGGAGTACTCACCACATGGACGATAGTAAGCAGGATGCCTTCAAGAGGCGTCCTTTGTAGCCCAACTCTGCCATGAGGTAGCTCGCCACTTGCTGACCTTCTGTCATGGGTTTAGGGTTCAGGGTTTAGGGTTCAGGGCCAAGGTTTAGGGTTTAGGGTTTAGGGGGTTAAGTTTTTAGTGATGTTCAGGGACATAGACTAGATCTCTTCCCTCACCTCTTGCGGAGCTCGCCACCAACGTGGCTGGGGTAATAGGATTTAGGATTGAGGCTTTGCCGCCATGGTTCCTTCGCTCCCTGCGCGCCGGAGTGGGCGTGGGTGCGCAAGGGCTGAGAATGGCCATCGGGGTTGAAGATCTACTGCAGGGGTTTGGACAATTTAAGCCAAGAACCCCATGGTACACAAATTCACCCGAAATGTTTAACCCTGTTTCCGAGAATGAAGGCCTCACGTTGTGTCAGGTTCGGAGCTTGGGCTCTGGAGGTTCGCTGTTCAGCTTGTCGATTATCTGCTCGGGACTAGACTAGGTAAGATGGTGGAGTTGCAGGTCAAGTCTTCCGTGCGTCTCCACTTGCACGATCATTCGAGGATGCCGACCGTGACGCCAAACCCTGAACTCTGAAACATCAACTCTCTGAAAATAGTCTTAAACCGTACAAGCCCTGGAACACCCAAACGCCAAATCCCAAAACCTAAACCTAAGCGTGAGAAGCCGTAAGCCTTGAAACCTAGAACTGCAAGCCCTAAACCCTTCAGGTATCGTGGCACCCTGACAGCTGCATGCTTGAGCGCGGCAGCTTGGCAAGCTTGGAATCCTGCCTAACAGTTTAGGGCTCAAGAATGTAGGATTTAGAGACTTTCGGTTTTGGGGCTTGGCATTTAAAGTTTATTGATTTCGGATTTAGTGATTGACGGTTTAGGATCAAGGGCTTTGCCTTGAATTCTGGCACTTCCTTTCCTGGGGGTTCTTTTCAAAAATAATATTATGTTTACCAAGAGTCTATGACAACTCAGGGTCCAGCTAAGCCATATCCCTGGTGGAAAGTAAAGAGACCCCAATGCCCCCAAATGTGGTGATGGAGATGTTTAGTATACCCGACGAGTCCAAAGGACGCAATACTGAGGTAGTTGGGTTCAGGGCAGGAAATTCTGCTTCACGGGTACAGGGGTTCAGGGTATATAGTGAAATTAGCGTCTAGGCGGGCGCAAGTCTGGGACATGTTGCTGCCAACTTGGACGAGGAAGCTTGCCTGCTGATGCTGATAATGGCCATTGTAATGTGCTGTCGCATCAACAGATACGAAGCCATCATCCAAAGCAGCTTGCAGTGTCAGCAATCGTTACCAAGAGGTTTAAGCCACACTATCACCAGGCTGCCAAAATGAAAGGCATTGATAATGGGAAAAGCGTCCCCAGTGTGGGTGTAGGAGCGAATCTAAACCCTTAAACCCCTAATCCTAACACGAAGCCATGCAGGACTCTTAACTTAGATAGGCAACGGGAGAACCTAGACTTCTTGGCCTTGCTTTTCTGGTCTATCCTCGAAAGTCTGAGCAGTTTTGGCACGGTTATTGAGGAGATAACGAAGTCCTTGAAGAGCCCTGCAAAGGACCCTTGAAAGCAGGTAACCCTCCTCAACTCCAGATGAGGCTGCGTTCACCTCGCGGCTTCCCAATGTGGCGTTTTGCTGCTTCAATGGCATTGAAGACGCATAGGGTTTTAGGTTTAGGTAGTATTATTAGGGAGACTCTTAAAGGGTACCCCTTCTGAACCCTACTTCTGGCTCTCTTAAAAGGGGCCTTATTGACAGGGTCTATATCCCCAAGGATCCCTTAATCCTAACTCCTAAGTTTCAGGGCTTGGGGCTTTGGTTAGGGTTTAGGACGGTTTGGGGCTTAGAAATTACAGCTTTTTTTTGTTGTTTTTCAGGGTCAGAGTGTGGCAGTTTAGTCAAATTCGATACCCGACAGAACACTAAAGTTAGGTTTTGGTAGGGCTTCCATGCGGTTTTCAATTGCTTAGCTATGGGGCTTTAAAAGGCCTGAAAGGACGTAACTAGAGGTTCATGGCAGACATTATAGCGTAGTACGGTATATGACTTGACAGGGCATTCTCAACGGGCTCTGTATTTACGGATTGAATGTAGGGGGCTTGAACATGTGGTAAGCAATTGACGCATGCAAACCCCAATTTGGTTGCCCAGGCCGCCTATGCTACAGTGCTTAGAGAGACCAATGACTCTTACCCAAGAGGTTCTAGAGGGTTTAAGGTTTAGGGTTCAGGGTTTAGCGTTTAGGGTTCAGGGTTTAGGGTTCAGGGTTTAGGGTTCATGGTTAAGGGCTTAGGGTTTAGGGTCCATCCACTGAGCGGTATGTGGCTCGGGTTCTGGCTGCAGACCGAGCTAGATGAGGGTTGGGGCTGTTTTAATTCAAGGCAGCTGGGAACTTAGGGCGTGGGGCAGTCCAGGGTTATACTGATATACTATTTGGAGTATAAGTCGCCAGCAGATGTGGTTTCCGAAAATAGGGGACCCTACTGTAGTACCCTAGAAAGTAGGATCCTGACTATAAGGACCCCAAGCTACGGTACCCATAACTTTCGGAAACTCCCACATGACGTCTCCTCAGGTAGCGGCTTGCCTTTTGCGGCCGCTATGCCGCCGGCCTCGCAAATTTTGTCATCTGGGATGTAAGTTGCCAGATATGTCCTTATACTTTCTACTTGTTTGTTTGTTGTTGAGCTTCCCTTTACAAGCTGAATAGGCGGGACGGAAGGATATCATGAGACTTTAATCAGGATCTTGTATGGTTCTCGAGAGGGTCTCATGTCGTGCTTATTGATTGCCTTATACGATTCAAGAGGTATTGCTTCACAGAACGCCTGAAATTCTACCACTGAATCCCTCAGAAGCTTGAAACAGTGGCCAACTGGTCAAAATATAGGCACTGGACTGATATTTGTACGGGAAGCTCTTTTTGTGGAGGTTTTCACATGCAGCAAATCGAATACAAACTTGAACCCCGGACCATAAACCCTAAATTACCTACAAAGGTGGTTTTGGGGTTATTGCGACCAAAATGTATGTGATTTCGGTGCCCCGCCTGAGAAGTTGGGAGTAGATTGCACAAGGTCTGCAGAACCCTCGATACCTCGCAATGCCCACGACATCTCGTCCATCATGGAGCAGCGCGCCCGACATTTCAGGGGTTTTGTCTTCAGGAATTCTGGGTTCAGGAGTGCCTAGGGCGTGATTCGTACACGACGATACAGGCCTGTAGGGTGTAGGGTTTCCAGTTAAAGTAACCCTTAATTAACCCTCAACCCTAAATCCTAAGGTTCACCCACCTGTGCGTAGAGTCTTCATACTCTTTTCGTCCGAAGTCCAAAATATTCTGTGCATCTTTTCCGGGCATGCTAACAGGGAGGAAAGCCTTGCTTCTCGTGGCAGAATGTGCGGGATTCTCAACCCCACGCCAGACCACTGCCCCGAAATCTCCTGACCGTTAACCTTTGAAGATTTCCTGAACATGTAAACCTTATATAACCTTGATGTTGAGTCCCTCCCATAATCAGGTCACTACCCGTGACCCTCATCCCGTTGAAGAACCTGAAAGATGGATGCTTTAAACAAGCGTGAAGCCCTAGCCATATCTATGTACTGGCAGGAAATCTTCACCCCCTAAACTATAAAACCCCAGCTGGAAACCCAATATACTGGTAGGAAGTCCAAAAGCCCCAACTTGTAAACCCCAACTCGAAACCCAAAGATCTTCCACTCCCGTGTCAAGGGGTGCCATGGAGAGTGCCGAGTACTCCGGAGCAGTGGCAGCAGCTTCGTTGCAACCGATCCACGGAATCTACGGGTTTCAGGTTCACGCTTAACCTTGGTCATTTCTACAGGTATTAGACAAATCAAAAAGGATTAGGAGGGATTTGAAGGTTAAACTTTAATTGTATAGCAACCATAGAGTAGTTTAGAGCGGGGAAGTTCATTGTCCTCATGCACACGATCGGGGATATCAGCACCTGACATCCTTTGCAGGTTCATCCGGGTCCTTTGATGCTAGTGGTAAGGAAACAAGGCGACTGCAAAGCAGGAAGGTAAGCACCATCGTCATGAAAGAGCTGATAGGTAGATATTGATCGATAGATAGATGGATAGATAGACAGATATATAGATAGACGGATGGATGGATGGCTGGATGGATGAATGAATGGATGGATAGCGGCCGTAAGGTGTCAAGCAGGGCTTTCTCTTGGGATATTTTTTGCATTATCATACGACAGCAAGCCAGGTTAGAGCCCGAGGGTCTTCGCTCATGTTTTTTTCCAAGGGGTCGAAGGGTACGGATTTAGGTTTTGGGGGGATTTTAGGGTTTTGGGGGATAGTTTCCCCAATCACAACAGTAATTCCTACTATAGAGACCCCTACTTTCTACTATCTAGGTACTTAGGATCCTTTGAGTTTTAGGGGCTCAGGGGATTCAGGGCGGAGGGTCTCAGGGCTTACGAGAACTGTGGCTGAAAACACTACCCCTGATCTCAACTTAACAAAGGTTCATATTGGAGGATCTTAGCCATAAAGTTGTACCAAATTGGCAGCTACAATGGAGACTAGAGGTAAACCCTAAGCCTTTTAGCCTAAAGCCCACACCCTGAAGTTCTGAACCCCATACACCCTGAACCTTGAACATAAAAACACTCTGAACCCTAAACCTCCAAACCCTGAATCCTAATCCAACCCCGAACCCAAACTCCGAACCGTAGAGCTTCGTAGTTCCCGAACCCCCTAAACCCTCAGCCCCTAAGAATCGGGTCCTTAGTAGATAGTTACCTATACCTATTCTTTTTTTTGGGTGTTAATCGTTACCTATACTTATTTTTTATTTATTTTTTTGTTTTTTTTTTGGGGGGGGGGGGGGGTGATAGTGGGTCTCAAAACCCTGAACCCCTGCAAGCCCGAGGATCTCCTCTGAACCCTGAACCATAACACTCCCTAAACCCTAAACCGTAGTCCTTGAGCTCGCGGCGGTTGTTTCTTACCCAGAGGGTCCATATACCCTACTATTATGGAATTAGGCCCTAAACAACCATCCCCATTATGGTTTTGGGGACCTAATTCCATAATAGTAGTGTTTCTGGACCCTCTGGGTAACACTTAAGTCATTGAGCTCGCGGCCTCAAAGGTTTAAGGTTCAGGTTTTACGGTTGAGCTCTCGGCAGCCTGCATGTGACGGGAAGAGGGCCCATTGCACTTCAAAACGCCCTGTCACAGAGCATGCTCTTCCCTAAGGGTCCAAGTACCCAAATAGTAGGGTTTCAAGGTCCAAAAACCATTCAGGGTATGGGTTTTGGGATCTAAAGCCCTACTATTTGGGTACTTGGACCCCCTGCTCTTCAGATCAGATCATGTGGACGAACGCCTTTTTTTTTCGGCTTTGAGGCGTTGGGCCTCATACTCTTCCGTCCAAAGCCCGAGACCCAAACCCAAACCTCAAAGCCCTGTTCCCTAATATAGGGGCCTAAATGGGAGTTTCTGAAAATAGGGGACTCCTAATATAGTACCCTAAATGATAGGATCCCTATTATAAGGACCCAAATAAGGTAGACCTAATTTTCGGAAACTCCTAAGGTCCTCAATGATTACCAACCAAGCTTATTTTGGGGGCTCCTTGTTAGAGTTTTAGTATTATGGGCACCAAAACCCTATTCTGATTTTGGTTGCCAACCAATATTGTTTTGAGTTCTGCTTTCCCAGGCGATGAGCGACATCATGGCTAATGCAGAGGCTGGGGAACCATCCAAAAGGGGATATGTGTCTTGGGTGCGGGGTTGGCGGTTTTGTAGACTCTGTACACGTTTATGACCCTGCAACTACTGCGGAAGGCTTCTGGTGTATGTGTGTGTGTGTGTGTGTCTGTCTGTGTGCTGGATTTTTTGGTTTGCGATGTTGTGCTTTGCTGTTGGACTCATGTGGCGCCGACAGAGCATTTTGCTCGATTTTGTGGATTAGGTTAATTAAGGCTCTGAATACTCAGCAGGAAGATCCCCCTAGATCCTCACTTTCCTTTTTTTATGTATGTCATGATATACATGCCCAAGATGCCGTCTCACAGTCCTTGCACGTTTCTTGAGGCCTCCGTACTTCCCCTAAAGGATTCAGTTTGGGTTTTCCAGTTTGCTTGGGTGAACCTTCAGGGCAGTGAATAGTATGAATCTAAGGGTTATGTGTCCCCTCCTGCAGGGGCCGTTGTTACTCGGGGTGATGCTGCTGTTTCTTCGTGCTCCAAGAGACCATGAGCTAACGTAGGGGTCGGAAGAATACAGAATACTGTTCCTGAGCATTCCCCATTCCTTTTTCATGTGGTACTATGATGGACACCAAATCCGGTCCTTGTCTTTTTGTTACGGCCCCAATACTATAGAAACCGCTTATGGATTCCTGATAGAAGCCTCACAGGAACCCTGCCAATACCCTTAAACAGAACCCTATTCTGATTCTGAAGGCCCCTATATGATGCAGTCCCTTCCAAAAGCCCGTAGCCGCATATGCCAGACGGCGTCTGGAGGGTCACTCTAACATCTCTGTGCTAGACAGGGGCCCTTTGGGCATGTTTAGGATCTATGTTTAGAGGTCTGGAGGTCCCCTGAACGGCAAAAGCAATTAGGACAATGTTGCTGTTGGAGGTGCCATGAATATGCGTGATTTTTGGCTCTGCAACGTAAAGTCCTGCCCGAAACTATGGACATTGGCTGCCAGGAGGATGCTCGCGAATTTGTGAATGAGAAGGCATCGGTCATAGATTTCTTGAAGGTTGAGTTTAAGCACTGAAGGTTGCAACAGGGTCTTTCTAGCGTGCCCATGCGACGTAAAAGGTTGCAGTTATTTGGTAGACACTAGTTCTTGTATATGGGTTTACATGTGTTTGTTCCAATGGTGCTTTAGATCGTTTCTAGAGCTTGCTTTCACATAGCATGTCCCAAGTAAGTACCCATGGAGCTTGTTGCACTTAGCAAGGTAGCATCTGAAACATAAATGCTTCTATTTCCTAGTAGAGTAGCTAGCCTTTAACCTTTTTTCTGTGGTATAGTCTCCATATAATGCCTATATAACCCAAAAGGTTAACCTTTAGTTCTCCATGATACCCGACAAGTAGGATCTAGTTTCTTGCACCCTCAAGTTCCCAAACTCCTAAACTCCAAACTCTCTCAAGCCTGAACTTAAGTTCGAAGCCCTAAGCCCAGCCTCTAGGTTGTAGTGCCTAACCATCAGATAAATCAGGAAATTCTGAGTCTCCGGGTCTCCCAAGAACCCGCCTGCTGAACTACATACCTTGTTTGAAACTCACCTTGAACCTCCAATCTTTAACCCTGAACCCTCGCCCTAAAATCGGAAACGCTGCAACCCCCAGAGACGTTAGGATTTCTAAATTTGTTCATTATAAAACCAAGAGAATATCAAATTGCTATTTTGTTTACGGTTCTAAGTGCGAGTGTAGTATAGCTCATAGCTCTATGGCCTTCACATCACTCAACTCCTCCACACACATAGGCGCCAGCTGTTCCCATGACAATTGAAAGGAATTGCAAACGCACTGATTTGGGAGAGACGGCCGTTATCATAGCCCTTGCAAGGTAACTAACAAGCGAACAGCGATTAACACAGGAGGCCTTAATAGTTGGACTACGGTGCCAGAGTAACTACAGTATTCTATCATTTTCTCTGGACTAGTTCATTCATTGGAAGGCTATTGCTATGGTTACTCCGACGGTTATGTAATCGTGGCGGTCGAACTCTGCGCTTAAGCAAGATGCTCTAACTTTGGGGTTTTGGGTTTAGGGGTTTCAGGGTTCAAAGGTTTATAGGGTTTAGGGGTTACGGTTGAGGGTTTCGGGGTTCAGGGTTTAAGTGTTTAGGGCTTTGGGCTCAGGTGGGTTTCAAGCCGAACTTTGGGGTTGAGGGCTTTGTGTTTTGCCTACCTGAACACTTACTGATACTAATACCATTCCCTCGGGTTTCTCAAGGGCACGTGCACAGTATATACACCCCAAACATGCATTCCAACTGTAAAGGAAAGTTAAGGCCCTGTACCACGCCCCACTCTAGTAAGCCTTACAGAATCTCTTTGAAGAACCCTTTCATGGAACCCTATTGCAATCACTAGGCCATTTATGCGAAACCCTAGAAGGCCCCAATGGACCCTGTACAACCCAATGCAGAATCTACAAGAACGCTAGTCTAATCAGCCGGGTAAACCTAGCACAGCTCTCAACCGTAATCAACAAAGCCTGAAACCCTAACAGTGACAATAAACTCCTGTATGGGAGTTTCCGAAAAGCGGAGACCCTAATATCGTAACCTAAATAGTAGGGCCCTTACTTTAAGTAGGACCCTACAATAAGCTACCCCCTAAATTTTCGGAAACTCCCAAATCCTAAACCCTATAGATCCCTTATAGGAACCCTTAAAGGAACCCTACAGATCCTTTTAAAGGAACCCTAATTTTCGGAAACTCTAAACCCTAAACCCTTTGTAGAACTCTTATAGATCCCTTCAAGGAACCCTTAAAGGATCCCTTTAAAGGAACCCTATAGATCCCTTAAAGGAACCCTTGAAGGATCCCTTTAAAGGAACCCTAATTTTGGGAACCTCAACAAGCTCTTGTATACCAGCATCTTTTGGGGTTCCGGGGTTCCTTTATTTAAGGAGCCCCTGTCGAAGTCCCAAAACCTTAAACCCTGGAATCGAAGTCCCCCAAAAAGGAATCCCTCTTGTATATCAGCAGGCCGAAGAGCTGGGTGAGGAAGGCGCCTACCAGGCGCTTCGGGGGTTGCGGTTTAGGAATTTCGGGGTTTAGGGGTTTGGGGGGTTAGGGGTTTAGGGTTTGGAGGTTTAGGGTTTAGGGGTTTAGGGTTTAGGGTCTAGGGTTTAGGGCTTTCGGGTTTGGGGGTTAGGGGTTTGGGGGTTTGGGGGTTTAGGGGTTTGGGAGTTTAGGGTTTAGGGGTTTGGGGGTTTGGGGGTTTAGGGTTTAGGGGTTTGGGGGTTTAGTGTTTACGGGTTTGGAGGTTTAGGGTTTAGGGGTTTAGGGTTACCCATAGGCCTCATAGTAGCTCCTTTTTGGGGATGACCTTATAGGTTTCTATAGATGAGCCCCAGAAAGGAACTACTTTGCGGTCTATGGGTATGGTTTACGAGTTCCCAGCGCAAAAAAGCGTGCTTGGGAGTTTGAGCGAGATTGCAGGATGTAGTCTTCCTGGTTGGGGGGATTTCTGGGGCTGCTACCCCGAAGGCTCCATGTACCGTTATAGTAGATACGTAAGCCCCAAAGTGGTCCCTGTATAGGTACTTTAAGGCCTAAGTATATACTATATGGGCACATGGAGCCTTAGGCTACTTGGCTTTACGGTTTTACGTGGGGTTCAGGGCATCTCGGGCCGAGGCTTTGATTGGAGGTTGAGTTCTTGGACCTCGGCCTTGGCATGTGGACGTTCACGTTTTAGTTTTGAATCTGAAGCTTCCACATTTGGTACAAGAGTAGAACAAGGATCACGGACCTACAATGAAATCGCAGTCAAGAACACCAGGTAGGATTACATAATATATTAGAGGCCTTGATGATTACATCTACTAGTCTGTTGGTTCCTTCTTAAACTATAATTCTAGCATGATGGGCTCCAAAAACCTGTTCTAGTTATTAAGGCCCCCATATTAGAGGTCGGAGTGCGATGCCCCTCCTCCCAAGCCGTCGTGGCACGTGCACGTGGAGACGTATCCCCACAAGTGGGAGGCGAAACAAAAAGTGTCATAGTCCTCATTGCCCCAAAATCTTAAAATCAAGAGGCTTTAAATCTCCTATCCTAAAATCAAGAGCCTAAATCCTAACCCAGAGGGTCCAAGTACCCAAATAGTAGGGTTTTACATCCCCAATATCCATACTTTGAATGGTTTTTAGACCTTGAAGCCCTACTATTTGGGTACTTGGACCCTTGAGGTAAAAGCCAGAAAGTTGGAATATCATTATCCTAACCCCTTTAAGGTAAATTATAGGGGGTCCTACCATTAATCCATATTCCAACTTTCTGGAGTTCCCTTTATAGTAGAACCCTATAGATCCCCTTTAAAGGAACCCTATAAGCCCCTATAGATCCCCTTTAGGGGAACCCTATAATGATACTTGGGTACTTGGACCCTGTAGGGTGAAAGTCCAACCCCTAAACCCTAAACCCCAAACCCGAAAGCCCTAAACCCTAGACCCTAACCCCTAAACCCTAAACCCTAACCCCTAAACCCTAAACCCTAAACCCCTAAACCCCTAAACCCTAAACCCTAACCCCTAAACCCTAAACCCTAAACCCTAACCCCTAAACCCTAAACCCTAACCCCTAAAACCTAAAACCCTAAACCCTAAACCCTAAACCCCTAAACCCTAAACCCTAAACCCTAAACCCTTAGGGTGAAAGTCCAACCCTCAACTTTCAGGCAGCCCTCGCCTATGGCTTCGAGGCCCGGGTTCGGAAACACCGGGAAGGGAAAAGGTCTCGGGGTATAAATTGAGGGCGTAAATGACCCAAAGGGTCCTATGTATATATATATATATGTATATATATGTGTATGTATACATATATATATATATACATATACCTGTACACATATATTGGAGATATTGGGAGAATCTTTCCCAATTCATAGTAAAGATAACACAGAAACCCTCCATTCTGCTGTATGTGTACGTACTTAGGGCCAGCTAAGTAATTAGTAGTATTCAATCGCATCTTGTTGTGTATTGTCCAAAGGTACAGACATAATATACCGCCCTAAACCTATCAACCCCATCAAAGAAGGAGGACCATTAACTCTAACGGCCGGACAATGCTAGACCCTACATACTCGTTGATCCTGGCCCTAAACTCCGGTGACTTGTGGCCCTACAAACCCAATGCAAGCAGTTGAAGCCCTATAGACCCGACCCCACCCAAAAACCGTAGACCTGAGCGATCTCTATGTAAGCCCCTAGAACCATCATAAAACTTATAGAGTCTTATGTAAAGAAGCAGAATGTAGTCGTGGAGACCTATAGAACCGTAGATGGAACACCAAAGATAAGAGAAGCACACCCTAACATCCGGAAGGCATTCGATTCCGATGGCGATGGGAAGTTGCTGGGCCAGGCACCTTCTGGGTGCCTCTTAGTTATCCCTAGGGGTCTTTTAGCAGTTCCTTTACGGGTTCCTTTAAGGGCACCATAAGGGTTCTATAAGGTCGCTATAAGGGTTTATACCAGACCCCAAGAATGTTTCCTTTAAGGATTCCTTTAAGGGTACCATGAGGGTTCTATAGGGGTTCTATTGGCATTTCACTTAGATTTCGCAGGGTCTGTGTCCTCAGGATATCATTTTGCGGCAATCGAATTAAAGCCTAGAAACCGCGCAGTCCTGAGCATCTAAACTCCAAGCTAACCCCGCACCCAAGATGCACTCGCAGCCCAAGCACTCGAAACCGAAAACCCGAGACCCCGAAACCCTAAACCCCTAAACCCCTAAACCCTCAATTACCCCAAGCCATGGAACCCTAAGCCGTCAATCCCGAACCCTAACCATGAATCCTAAACCCGCTTGAACCCTGAGTTCTAAACCCTCAACCCCTGAACCATGAATCCTAAACCCGCTTCAAAGCTGAACCCTCAACCCCAGAATCCTCAACTCTAAACCCCTAAAGCCCTAAACCCTAAACCCCTTACAGATCCCTTTAAGGAACCCTTTAAGGACCCCTTATTATCCTTGAACCCTCGC